AAAAATATGTGTATCAGCAAGCTGCTGCTATACAACAGATTTTTTATGTTTCTTTTTTTATCAGTCAGGAACTGAAAAGGACTTTTTGGCATGCAAATTCTTCTTCCAACATGAAAATAAACCAACCCACTCAGTTCAGTTTTGGATAGTTACATATATTATCTTGAAAAAGTCTCCTTTTACTTTTTATTATTACTGTAGCTCAAATGTCGCTCTTGTATTGACAGTAATAGTATACAAAGTTATTCATTTTTTTACTGCTCATATACTTTCTGATTAATGAAATGCAGCACAGTTTTTTACTCTGATGAGCTCTCATTGAAAATTCCATACCAAATATTGGGCTGCAATGCTGAAAATGTAAAATGGAAAGATTTAAGGATGTACAATAGATTGTGAGCGAGGCATGAAGGAAAGTCAAGGAAGGACTGAATCCATTATTTCAAGGAAGATGCAAAATCCGAAATGGTGCATTTCTTGTGACAGAAAATGAAGGAAATTGGCATTACTATTAAAAGGAGACAACAGACCTTTTCTTAAAATGTCTTTATCTTCTGAAAAAACATAGAAAGTAGCTGCATAATAGCCACATAACAAAACTTTGTAACATTTAGAAACATGAAGAATTCCAATTTATATTTGTGAATTGTAACTTCATGTTTTCCAGCAGATTGTTTCTCTAAGACTTTTTTCAGTTCTGATCAACACTCAGTGTTCATACTTTTCAAAACTAAATACTGAGGTTAGGATTATGATTTCCAAAGAATAACTCTAGTCCACTTTAAATGTAAAAGCTACTTGATCTTTAGGGGAGGCTAGGGAAGAAACTGGAGTATCTTCACTGAATGGACTGTACATCTCTCTAAATGAAGGTCTTCTTTGCTGTGCATCAGTTTTAAACATGTTTGTTATATTGAAGTATGGATGACTACTGTCCCTACTCCAAAACTTTATTTCTGAACTCCATGTGGAAAATAAATTCTGATATTCAGTTAACTTAAGAACTTCAAAATAATTCTTAACACATATTTGAAGTCCAATTATAACTCAGAGTATGAGTTATAGCCCCAATTATTGCTCAGAGTACACAGACTATCACATATATAAGAGCTCAAGATAACACCTGAAAGACCGAAATTGATTATTTTAATTTATTCTGGCAGTTTTAGGAATGAACAGGTCTTGCAGCTCCAGTGTAAGCAAAGATTACTCTAAGTGATTTTAAGGGTGTGCACTCTGAATTTAGAAAAATCTTGAATTTCATAAAAGGAGTGGTCAGAATTTACTGCAAATCAGATTCCTGCAGAGGGTATAATCTGAGCACCTGAAGTTGCCTGTACTTTTGAAGGTACTAGATTGAATCATCTGAGACGAGTCAAGCATATGGATTAAAATAAATGGTTTAAGCCTGAGAGGATGTAGTCAGTTTATTTACATGCCATGTTGTATATACTTCTAGTCATTTCAACACAACTATTCAAAATGCCCTTTTTAGTCTGAAGAACAGTAGCTTCTGGTTTTGAAAGCATAACAGTTATGATAGCCTTTATTTATTTTCAGGCAGGAAGACCTAATAACACTGAGAGATCTGAGAAATCTTAATTAATTATAATAGAGAGCCCCTGGATAAGTGCTTTTTTAAATCTAGATTTATAGGTTAAAGAGCGGAAAAAAAATACAGTCATCCAGAATTTGTTTGTTTTCTCCTCTAGGAGTGTTCAAGAGATGAATTTTTTCCTCAATATGCAGGTGCTAATCCATCAAATTCAGGGAGGTTGCTCAAGAAATATAGATGTTTAAGCACAAGAAGTATGAGTCAATATAGAAGATAATAGAAATAAAGTTAATTATTTCTAGACAAGTACTGCACTCATATGGAATTCGGCTATATCTGTTGGTAAGAAATATCTGACACCATGGTAGGCTGAAATTGAAGATAGTAAAAATCAGTTCTTACAGTACTGTTGTCCATCTGGAGACAGAAACTGAGTTAATTTGGCTACAGAAACACACCACCAACAGCTAGTGTCACAGAAAATTTTCATATTGTTTGCACTCATTTGAATGAATACAGGCTGTTGACCACAGATACCCAAAATAAAAGCACAAGAGTTCAGTACCATAACAGAATGGGTCTTCTTTGAAGATAAGAAGAGAGAACGTTTCATCAGTCAGAGTCTTAAGAAACACATTTAGAGAATATCTTTTCCAAATAGCATTTACTGATCAGTAAAGGGACTATATGAAGAGCTCAGAAAGATTTCCTACACTCCAATGCCAGGTGTGAGTTCATATTCACCCAGGAAGAAAAATGACCTTAAATCAGGCCCCTGGTATATAAAAATAATTGGGCTATTAGATTAGAGGACACCATTTTAAATGTCCCAAGCACAAAAATATGTAATTTTTCCTCATGTGGAAAATTTCAGTTTAGGGAGTACTGGGATCTTTTCTCTTTAGAAGAGAAATACATATGTATGGACATACGTGATAGCACTCTGAAATATCCCCTTCTTTTTTTTTTTTTTTAATTTCTTAAATAAAGATAGACATAACCCCTATAATGCCTCACTGTCTTACATTAGTACTTAATACTATCTAGAATAGTAAAGAAAGAAACATTCTATGAGATGCCTAAAAACTACTAAATGGTTTGGGATGTTTTTTGTTAGTATCCCAATAAGAAATCCAAAGTACAGAGAAAACTTTCACAGCATCAGCTTATGCAAATCCACAAATGTGATGTACTATGCATTCCAAATTCACAAGAATGTTAGAAAAACAAGTTAAATAGATGGTAATAAGTTTTTCAGAAGGGGGAAGACAAAAGACAGAATGAAAGACAATTTACTTCATAATAAATTGTTTAATGTTTAAAAATAGGATGATCAAATTACAACTCTGAACCTGCCCTTTTGACTGATTAAAAACATCTCATTACCCCAAACATGATCATCATCATAAAGACGTATTAGTGTATTTTCACTGGCAGTGACTTATTGTTAACTTCAGATCGAATATTGATGTTTTGCTATTGAAATGTCAATGCCAAAAATTGCACATAACTCAGTAGAATCTACAGCACCTTCAGATTTAACTACACCTACAACCACAAGAAACACAGTAAGACAGAACTGGTAATTTTGGATAAAAAGTCATAGTGTTGTTTTTTTTAGAAAAAAAAAATGTAAATGGTCTTTGTTATTTGTGTTTTAAAACATTGTATTATTTTTTGTGACTGTTATCTTGCATGAAGTACATGATAGAGAAAGACCAGCTCATGTCTCTGTTATGTCACATATAGATGCTTCAGAAATTTTGCTCATTGTTTTCACTGTCACTCCTTTAGCTGTCACTGAATCAAACATATCCCAATTCTGCAAGTGTTTAAGTATATGCTTAAATTTTCATTAAACACAGTGCAACATACTAATGAACATTGTGTGTAAGTTCTTGTAAAATTATGGCTTTAGCCATCAGACTGCTGATTGCTAGTGTTGTCTCTGCTTCTGCTGGATTTGAAAACTCAAGATAGATGAGACCTATGTATCACAATACAAAGTCCGGGGAGCTGCACCCGTGCCTCTTTGTAATGAAACATCACCCACATTTTTCTGGCAAGTTCAATGCCTAACCATATTAATGGAAAGTCGTGTCTGGGCTTTTCTTCACACCTGGAACTTTTCTACTGTTTCTAGCAGGTGAAAGAGAGCTGGTAAAAATGACCAGTCTTTTTCATCATTTACTAATGGCTTCCATCCTCACAAGATGCCTAGAAGGAAATGCTGCTACTTTTCTTTTTACAATCATCACCCACATCTCATAGCAGGGTTTCACTCACAGCAAAGGCTGATTCACCATTTTTTCTCTCCCTACTAAAGAAATACAATACATTAAAATGCACATCCTTGGGGTTCAGCTTGTTAAATAAATGCTGAAGAGTAGAATATTCACTTTCCCATTTTAGGTGCTGGGAAGGCTGCTGATTTTATTTTTCAAAAGGGCCAATTTTCCACCTTGAATATACAGCTCATAGCGGCTCTTCTGTCGAGGGGGTAATTCTGCTCAGCACTCCATTTAGAAGCATGAATTTGGAGCAGCTTTTGCATAGCTTCTGGTTCAATTCTTTATAATCTATAATAAAAAAGCTTTTGAAAACCTTTTTTTCACCATGTGTAAAAGAGCTGGTTTCAATGGCAGAAAGATTCAGAGAGGAATGTTCTTTCCTATAGACAGCTAAGAAAACTTCTAAGATAAAATTCAGGGGTGGAATAAAGTCTCAAAGGAAAGAGGAATATTAAGCCTAGACCCTTAACCAAAGCTGAGGAAGTTATTCAGGGTCATATTTTTCTTGGCAGAGTAAGCAGTCTTCCATGGTAACAAAATTAATTATCAAAACAAGCTAGTTTCTCCGTGATATTTTTAAACTCGAGAAAACTAAATTTTCCAAATAATTAACATGAGTACATTTCAAATATCACTATTAAGAACTATGTTTAAAATCAGGAATAAGAACCTCTCATTTTAAAAACTGTATAGCAATAAAGATTGTCAAACATATCCAGGTACATCTCAAGAATCACCTTCAGTCTCCCTTCTAATAAAATCATCAATAAATGCAAAATTACCAATAAACACAGAATACAGAGAATACATCTTGACATAATAAATTAATTCACATTCAAATATAAATCTTCAGGCTCAGCTTAACCAATCTTTCACTCTGATGTAGGAGCAATATCCCAGACGCTCACAAATAACCTAGATCTTGACATACTTTTCCTTTCTTCCTAAGAGGGAGGTGTGCTTGTTAATGAATCCAAAGCAACTCATTGCATTTATTTTAAGTTGTAAGAGTATTCTAATACAATTCACTGCTAAAAGTGTAGAACTGCTAAGCAAAGGCATTTTCTTCAAAACCTAGAGGGACTATAAGGCCATTTTAGTCACTTGACACTAAAATACTATAAAGTTACAGTCAATTAAGATGGAATATTTACCTTGCAAACCAGGTTCCACAGATACACGCAGGAAAAGACAAAGAGTTCGCTGTCAAGTTTTTCAGCTCCACTGATTGCTTACTGGAAAAGAAGAGGAAAATCTATTTAGACTTTTCAGTTGTACTGAGCTTTTTGAAATTATGATGTTTTTCGTGAAATTCCTTTAGATGTTTTAGGATCATCATATTTAGCTCCTACCCAAAAAGTAACAGAAAGGATAGTCAGAGCTGTAAATGTCTCTGATGAGGTAAATAAAGTTAGAGGCAAATGAAAGCTTCTAATAACAACAGATAATAGTGTGCACTCAATGAGACTCAAGTGGAGCAGGCAATGGTGTTGCCTACAGTAGCTTAGAAAGCCATTTACTAAAGGATCTCAAGGTGAAATTTACAAAACATTAAACCCAGAATGGAATCAAACATAAACTCTTTTAAACAGTAAGAATAATTACTTGTCTCTGCTGGTGATGGAATTTGGCACCTCTGCAGATTTCTCCCACCATGCCTCCAACTCTACAGTAAGAAAGTAGGTTTTTGGAACTGTATCCTCTTGCCATACTGAATTAAAATCTGAACTTTCCATTTATTTTAATGATACATACAAAAACCCAGCTGTCTTCAATGGTGAAGGCAGAGGAGTTAAGAAAAATTGTGACTCATGTTTGTAAGGACCAGAATAATCCCTGATTTAGCAAAAGAACTATAGATTATAGAATAACCTAGAACTACACTGATACCAAATACTGTTATTTCAAAATTAATCTGAAAAAAATGTCATGAACTCTGTTGATCAACATGTCCCCCTAAGATCTTCAGAAAGACAAACCTAAAGACTAGAATTATTTGGCTTTCTGCCATATAGCAATTGCTTTTCCAAGACCTTTCACAGTGCCCTAAAATGAAGACTTTGCACCTCTAAATAAAGCACATTATGACCTGACAGAGATTATGCTAAAAACTGAAAAATAGCATAGAAGAAAGAAAGAAAGATATTACTTTAAGATAAATATTCTTTGGCTATTATATATAAATAATGTTGCAGTTATGGGAAAGATTAGTTATTGTAAGTAAATGCAAATTTCATGGTGATATATAACATTTTATCACATTCTCATTCAACTAACTTGTTATGTGCTATACAAATATGTTAGTTAATTCAATCATTTTGTTTTATACTATATGCTTGATCATGGACAAGGTAAAGGGACAAGCAGCTGAACTGAAGAGGGCATTTGTAACATAAGGAATTTATGTAATTTTCAGAAGGAGTCTTGAAAGGTGACAAAGAGCAGCCAACACTCTAGGCAAGACTGTCTCCACTAAACAAAGTCCCTTCCCTAGAGAAATTTGGTTTATCATTTGCCAAAATATTAGTTTTGGCATAAGATTTGCATCAATTCTCTATGATGTTCCTAGCATATAATTTTCAGACAGCTTACTCTGTGAAAATAAAAACTTTATACACTATTCTTTTATTCTTTTTTTTTTTTTTGTAACACATGGTCAGAATGGGACGTTGAAGAAAATATTCTCCCTTCAAAATGATTATTTTGAAGGAGTGGATTGATTAAGCGCATTCTCTAGAAATACATCTTTTGAGCTTCTTTGGGGCCTCTTTATGCAATTTGCTTGGCTTTCTGTTGTTCTGTATGAGCTGTTAGTATGACAGAAAAACAAAGAACACACCAACACCCCTTCCCTCTTCAGCCTCTCCCCATTGCTTAGGTAAGAAGATTAATAGGTGTAGGCAGAAAGTTTGCCTTGGAATTTTTTTGAATAACCGTTATGGAATAAAAACTTTAAATCTCCAACATTTTGTTGAGATTTGAACATCTCTCCAGACATTCAGAAACTTAAATATTTTCTTCTTGATGTAAACACACCCCCATGCCTAAATATGACTGTACAGCTCTTATCTTTGTATCTACCAGAATCAGAAACTGAGTGAAATATTTTGGAAGTCAAATGCTATCTTCTATTAATAGAGGTCAGATTATTATTTGAAGAAATGTAAATAACCATTGATACAGGAAAGCAGGAAGAAAAAGCCATTAGGAGAAAATGATATTACATTGTCTGAATATTTAAGAATAACAAAAAGATGTTCTATTAACAGGTAGAATTCATTTCTAGACACTTTATTTAATTTTTAGCTTATTTTCTTTATTCTTGCTCTCTAGCTAGATTGAACATGCCTTATCTAGGTGAAATCATACAAGTGTCAAAACAACTGTAAAACAACTTATTGCTAAATGTAACTCTGAATGTAGAAAAGCTGAACACAGAGGACTGAAGTTGAGACTGGGAAGATGTGGGGGGTGTGGGGAAGCTAGGTTTAGTTTTCTTTTTGTTTCTTACCATACTACTTTATTTTTAATTGACAACAGATTAAAATAATCTTTTCTACATTGAGACTGTTTTGCTCTTGACAATAATCAGTAAGTGATCTCCTGGTCCTTTTCTTGACCTATGACCTTTTTCATCTTATTTTCTCCCCCTGTCCAGTTGAGGAGGGAAAGTGAGAAAGCAGCTGGGTGGGGTCTGGCAGCCAGTCAATGCCAACCCACCACAGTTTCTCTGCACAGTTCTGGCAATTCTTCGTTAAGAAAGACAGAAAGAAGTGTCTGCTCCTAATGAACTATAGTGTTACTGGACTAGAGCCAACATTATGAGGTTAAGTCAGAAAAACCAATTAAGTTAAATAAAGAGCATGCTTTGCTTTCACTACTGTGTAGATTAACATAATAAGTTCAATGCTAATTTATCTGGTGATTTTAATGGAGAAGAGGAGAAACTTTATTTGAACTCATGACAACAGGGTTTTTTTTTTTTTTTTGGGGGGGGGGGGGCGGTTCAGGTTTTTTACTTCCTGGGGGAATTGTAACTATTTTTTAATCATGTCTTTTGTGCCCTCAGATTATTCTAAGACTTAATGCAGAATGAAATCAGAATGAAAAAACCCCATACAAATAAGCAAATTCACCACATCTCTAAAAATTTCTTTCACTTCTCTTATGTTGAAATAAAAGGTAAGTATTTTAAGTATTGTGGCTATTTGCCTTCACTTTTTGTTGCACACATAGAAGACTTAAAATAAGGATGAATGTGAGCCTCTAGAGGCTAAGATAATTTAACTGTGAGCTGTACTTAACATTCTAACTAACCTTCAAAGGGTATTTAAATAATCAGAGTTCTGTCCTCCCTGAAATGCAGCAATACAATGGTGTGTCAGCATCAAAATGTCCTCCATTGGAGTAGCTCAAGAATCAAACTCCCAAATGTTGATAACATCTCCATGTCATTACATCATTATTTCCAAGGGCAAAACTGTGGTATTACAGTGGTGTTGTTACGACAGCTATCAGTGGGAATTCAACAAAGTCCATCACAAAAGGCTATTGGAGAAATTAAGTTTCTCTTGAACGAGGAAGAGGTCCTTATAAAGATAAGTGGTTGCCTAAAATATGAGAAACAGAGGAACTAATCAGTTTCCCCAGCAGAAGGGTATGGCTAGTTTCTCACCTCATAACAAGCTGCCCTTGGCCCCAAGCTGCTTTTCAGGTGGTACCAAGCTGATGCCAAAGAACTACAGAAGCTTACTAACCAGGTATGGAAATTGTAGAGGAAATTCAGTGTCATTGTGTGTACTGTGATACACATGGAAAAAAAACCCACTCACATTAGATAAATAGTAGTGTGTTCTGATATCACCACCACCCCTCAGAGGTAAGATTTGGGAGTCTTAGAAAGCAGGTCTGCAAGGACATCAGCTTAGTAATCGAGAAAGCAAACCTAAGTGATACGAATTAGTGTGAATGGAAGAAATTAAAATGGAGAATACTGAGAGATGAATGAGAAAGGAGGGGTACAACAATTTTCTACAAAATTAGTGGAACAGATAATGACCAGTACAAGAACCAGTGAGAACTATACAATATCCAGCAGAATAAAAGTTCAAAACAAACAAAAATACGCATTTCATTCATGGATTGTGAAGGGAAAACACAGAACATGTTGCCCCAGATGCTGATCATCATCAAATTTTTGGAGGAAAAACCATCTGCAGGAACCCCTCTTTGGTAACTCTGGAATACTTCATCTAAATTTGTATATTGCAACAGTATAAGTGAAATCACAATCAAAATGTTGCTTTAAGGAAGAGGACGACTGTCACAAAAATAATGCTGAGAGTATAATAATATCAAAACAAGAAGTCATCAAAATTTGAAGTCACCAAAACACACTACACAGGGACAGCCTGAAGATATTAGAGATTTCAGTTGGGTTTTTTGAGCCACATGCCAGACATGTGGAGTGAATTAAGATAGTTTTGCCCTAAAAGCACACAATAAACATGACCATCATGAAAATAAGTTATGTGACCTACATATTCTAAAATATTGAAAGCATTAAAGGCCACATAGCTAAAATGTTGAGACGCAACACAACCAAAAGGATGACTGCTTTAACTGTCAAACAATAAATATTTCAGACTTTAAAAAGGTTTCAAAATTCTATTAATAATAATGAAGATACTCCATATCTGTATCTTGACACTATAATTAATTAGTTTAATATATAATTTACAGTAGGGTTTCAATCATATAATAATGAAATTCTTTAGACAATAGAATTTTGTGAGGCTAGTGGTCATATATTTGCTCAGATTAAATCACCGAATTATTTTTATAGATTTCCAAAGAGATGTTACCCAAGATGCACTGAGGAGAGGAGTAGTTTGTTTTGTAAATCTGTCATAGTTCAAAACATTATCTTAAAATGTATGTTTCTTGTCAAGCATTAACAAATTGAACAAATAAAAATTTCCATATAAGCCCAGGGCAGGCAGTTTTGTTTTGTTTTGTTTTGTTTTGTTTTGTTTTGTTTTGTTTTGTTTTGTTTTGTTTTGTTTTGTTTTGTTTTGTTTTGTTTTGTTTTGTTTTGTTTTGTTTTGTTTTGTTTTGTTTTTTTCCAACAGATGTGTTAAATTGCTTGCAATACATATTAAGCTTAGAACCAGTTTTTAAAAACTTAAGTGAACTAGCATAAAGAAGTAAACCTTTGTCTTGGTTTGAGCCTAGT